CCGGCCGTTTAGAAAGGTGTAAGCTCTTTTCTTGAAGGTCCCTAAGTCGTATCGGTCCGGAAAATCCGCCGGTGGTAAACAATTATGTGTAAAAAAGTCATCAAACAGCATCAAACAATTTATTAAACAAAAGTTGCGTAAACAAGTTCAATGGTTAAAACAATATTAAATAACAAAACCAAACAATTCTACTGAAAAGAAAAAAAAGTAAATATTATTTCACTTTTACAACTAAGGCAAATCTAACGAATCGCTATATTATGTTAAAATTCAATATATATATATATATATGTTAAAATCGAATAAATATTATGAAGAAAGAAACAAGGACATAGAAACACTTGATTTTCATAAAGAAAAGAAATATATAATATAATTATATCGATAAACTCAGTAGAAGCCTCAAAAAAAATTAAATCACAGGTATATACTTGTACATCCGTAAGATAGCGTAATAATGTATATACTTTATTACGCTATCTTTGAGCAACGCCATTTTTCTAACGACTTCAAACAGGAGAAGGAAGTCGACTGTGTTTTTTTATGTGTGTTACCTCATAACCTTCTGGGTGAACTGATTTCGATGATTCTTTTTTTATTTGAAAGCTGGTGCTTCACATTCACATTTTTATTTTTAGTTATTGTTGAAAACAACTTCGCCATAATGTTCACTATATATTGAAATTATAACATAAAACGTAATTTTCGCGCATTGGACTTTGTGGGATATGAAAATTTGTGTTTATTACATGATTTATTGTGATAACTCACACTTTTTATTTACTTTTCAGTTAATTCTGGCTATTAAATATAGTGATACGTGAACGACACAGTATTTGAAATGGCAATTTTATAAAATATATGAAATTGTTACGAAGCAAAATATAAGGAATTAAATTATAAAACAGTGTAATTACTTATCATTTGTATAAAAACTAACAAAAAACTTTCTATTGTACCCACTTAATTTTTTGTAAAATTTCTAGTTGCCTCTTACACTCACGCGGCGAAGGATATAAGACTAAAGTATGTGACGTAAACGCGACGCGAGGCGAAAACTCGTCATTTGAAGTAAATTCTGTTAATTTAAAGAAGCGTAATTTAATAACGAAACTAATTCTAATAAAATTTTAGTTTTATAGTTCATCTAAATAACATTTAAAAAATAATTGTTATGAGCACAATAACTATGGTTCTGACTAAACGTAGTGTAGTGATCATATACTCTTTGGTTCTGAGGGGTCCTTTCTAAATATTACCATACTCTTTGGAGCGTTCTACAAAGTTGACCTTGGATTGCCTCATGTGTACTTCAAAGGCTTGACAGATTAATCTCTTTGATGTACCGACACTCGAGTTATCGTTCAACGGGAAACGGCATTGTTCTTGCCGTTGTAGAATTATCGCGTTAAGTGGTGGCCACACCTACATTCAACGCCCATCAACGCGATAATCAACGGCATTTCTCGTTAGTGTAGCCCGGGCATATGTGGTAGTGTTTCTATATAGTTTAGTTTGTGGTTTCTATATAGTTTGTGGATTAGTTCGGTTTGTTGATGAAAAAGAGAATCCATTAATCAATTATAAAGCTATAGAAAACAACAATGGCCTTTAGTGAAGGTGAAGTTTGTAGAATTTGTTTAAGCGTTAATATACGCATGTTTGCACTAAAGGAGACTGGCCTCCAAAATTTGTATAAGACATTGACGAACAGTTTTGTAAGTTTTTTAATATTTATTTATTGTTAAATGAAGTTGCAGTACTTTGTTGTTATCACTGGAGAAACACATTATGGTGCCCGAAATATGTTCTAAGGTGTAGCGTTAAATATAGTACAAATACAACCAGAACCTGAAAAACAACAATTAGCCTGGTATCCTGGGTCGCACTAAAATTAGTATTATCATTTAATTAAAGCCTAGTAGGATATACTTGGGTACGCAAGGAGCGGCATGTTGCGCAACATGTCTCTCAACTAATACGTGGAATGTCCCAAGACTTAGGTCGCGGAACTGTATGCAAGTCACACTAGTCACCTAGTCAGTGCTTATAGAAATGTCCCCCGAGCAGGTTGTGGCGATTAGTGCTATGTACGTAGTGCTTATTTCGGGAGTGAAGCGTAAGCGACAGAGAAAGTGGTGGATGTGGAATTCCTTACTACAATGAGAAGGAAGAGGAATTGATATTTTAAGTGATCTCCGAATGTCTGACTAATCTTTTGTGAATTTTACTCGAATGTCGACATCTGATTTTGAAACGTTAGCGGACCTTCCATAGCCAAACAGGATACTATACTACGGAATGCTGTTGCCCTCATATTGGTAATCAGACTTGCCATTGCATTAAGATACTTGTGAGCTGGAGTTTTTTATGCTTCTTTTATCTTTATTCGAGTGTTGAAACAACTGATCGGCAGAATAGCACAAAACATGACTCTGGTAACCTTCAAGAAGTAAAAGCACGGTTTCGTTTCCTCACACAACTGACATGTTGCAAGGCAAGTTGCGCACATAACTACACCCGGTAACAAATGATTAGACACAGACACTGGACACGTGCACTCGCTCGAGGAGAGGGAACAATCAATATGTCCCTCATCACTTACAATGTTCCGGGTCACTGTGCAATGTTGCTTTGACATATAGATTGAGCGTTCCACATCATCTTGCATGACAAAATAGCCCCTAGTGTATCTGGGGCTTAATTGCTACATACTAAAAGATACGTGGAGACTGTTTGCAACAAGTGTTAGAGCCCGTGGGCCCAAATTTACTGAGTCTGTGCCATAAAAAGGTGCCCTGTGCCTCCTTCCATGCAACCTGCACTATTGCATAGATTTTGTTCCTGGTGTCTGTTCTAGTAGTGAGACAGCTAGATTAGTATATTTTAGTTACTTTCATAGTGTAATGTCTAATGGAATTTTGCTATGGGGTAATGCGACTGATATTGTAGCTATATTTGTTTTGCAAAAGAGAGCCGTACGGGCGAATTATAACCTAAATTGTAAAGAGTCCCTCAGAGAAAAATTTAAAGAAATAAACATATTGACTTTGGCATCTCATTATATTTATGAGAATGTAATGAATGTGTCTAAAACATAAATAGCTTTATTAAAAATAAGGATGTGCATACTTTAAACACAAGGAACAAACATAAGCTTGTAATGCCAGTTACTAGACTCCACAGAATCAGTAATTCATTTATGGGGCAATGTATACGCTTTTACAACAAAATTCCAGAACATATTTAAAGTCTGTCAATAAATAAGTTGAAAAGTTTTATTAAAGAAAAACTGTACAAAAAGGGTTATTATAATATCAAGGAATACATGAATGAAAATAACCCCTGGGAATAAGGTGATCGCCACCATGCTGGTTCTATGAAAAATAATTTAAAAATTGTATAAACGAAACGTTATTGTTAAGTGAAATATGTTTGAAAAAAAAAGTCCCGCTGGGTTTCTTGCTGGTTCTTCCCAGGACAGAGGTATTTTCCGAACCAGAGGTAAATAATAAATGACTTTCAATAAGTATTATGTAATAATCAATATTGAACAAAAAATTATTCTATTCTAGTACATACACAATAATACATATTACTTGAATGACTATTATTGTGATTTTCTATCAAGAAATTAACATTTACTCTGGTTTGGTTGTTCAGCCAATTAAAACAATTCTATCGGACTATTAAAGTGAGAGAATAGAGTAGAAAGAATTATTATCATTATTATATATGTGGTAGAGCCAGGCTGCAGCTATATTATGTTTGTATCATGGATGGGTCAGCTCGACCGGGATGGTAGTACACTTTCACAGAATGTGTAGTACCACCTACCACCCTGTGTTTTGTTTCAATATCCTCCTACCACAAGCATTATCAGTTTACTTAGAGTGATAAGAGAAGTATTTGTAATGTTCTTAGTGATAATAGCAGTTTGAAGTTAATGTAGGTAATGTAGTTGATGGATGTAGGTGGCTTGGAACCATAGGAGTTTTTTTCTGCCTAGATATCATTCTCTTACCATTTTCTGGCACCAAGCAAGAGTATGTACCCTAGTCTGTTTGTTTGTTTGTTTGTCAGTTTCTTTGTCACATCAATATTATAAAAAATGATGTTGACAAAGTGAAATGTGGTAGCCAATAGATTTTATTACCAACTTATATAGTAGTAGAAATTAGTAGTAAGTAGTATTCCATATTTATGAAGATATTTCATATTTTCAGATGGATGAGAATGAGGGGCCCATAATTGTCTGTTTCACCTGTCATGCAAGACTCATTCGTTGCAGAAGATTACAACAACAAGCTATTGAGTCTAATGTGGTTCTGGAGCAGTTGCTTTCAGGAGGGACCATGGTATTATCCATTCCATCCATTAAAACCTATAAAAGTCCACTGCTGAACATAGGCCTCACTCACAGATTGCTTCATAGGAGGGGTTTTGCCAAATTTGCCACACTAGGCAAGTTGGCAACCATAGTTTATATTAGTCTGAGTTGTCATCAGGAAGATGCTCCTGCCCAACCCCTGTTTCTGTTTCCCTCTGTCGCCTCTTATGACACCCGTCCCGTGGGTAGGTATATAGGATTGTGGATATACTTACACCGCCACTGCACAATCCACTTTTCTATGCTACTCCCATTGTTATATGGGAGAATGTTTTTAGTGGAAAGTTAAGTTTTAAGGACAAACTTGACCTTCAATCCAACTTACTTTTTTGTTAGAGCAATAGTACTTAGTTTTACAAAAATAATTATCAAACTACTACTAAACTACAAGTTTATACTGTTACATATTACCCTATTGTATATAAACAAATCTCAATAAACAAAGTAAATTTACAGCTTTTGTGAATCTGAATCCAAAAATTGTTGAGATTCGATTCTCAGGATAGATGAACTATGTACATTCTTATTTAAGTTTACTCTGAACCCTCACTTTTGTCCGGTGTTTATTATTATTTGAAGTTGTTGTCAGGAAGATGCTGCCCCCCGATCTCCAGTTTCAGTTTCCCTCTGTCCCTTTTTACGACATCTTTTTTTTTGTAGGAGAGGGGCCAAACGAGCATGTGGCTCACTTGATGGTAAGTGACTACCGCCGCCCACGAAGAACCGCAACACCAGGGGAATTACAGATGCGTTGCCGGCCTTTTAAAAAGGAGTAGGCTCTTTTCTTGAAGGTCCCTAAGTCGTAATGGTCCGGAAAAATCGCTGATGGTAATCGATTCCACTGGGAAGTTGTGCAAGGAAGAAAACATCTTCTAAATCGCACTGTGGTGGACCGCCAATCATCCAGATGGTGCGGATGGTATCGGGAGTTCTGCCGCGATGTGCGTTCGGGAAATTTGGCGGCTGGGATTAATCCGAACAATTCCTCAGAGCACTCCCCGTGGTAAATGCGAAAGAAAATGCAAAGGGATGCAACATCTCTTCGTAGTGCTAATGAATCGAGAAAGGACTCGGTCGTCGACGATTCGAGCCGCTCTGCGCTGGATGAGGTCAAGTGGAAGGAGCTGGCACTGGGGAGCCCCCGCCCAGAAATGGGAACAGTATTCCATGTGAGGCCGAACCTGCGCCTTGTAAAGTTGCAGGCGGTGTGCCGGCATGAAATACTGTCCCGCTCTACTGAGCACGCCAAGCTTTTTAGAGGCCAATTTGGCCTTCTCTTCCAAGTGACCACGAAACTGCACGTCACTCGATATGTCGACGCCAAGGATTCCGATGTTGGCTGAGGCAACAAGGGGAGTGCCTTGAAACTGAGAAAATACGACAAAGGTGTTCTTTTTAGTGGTAAACGCGCAAACTTGTGTCTTCTGAGGATTAAACTGGACTAGATTTATAGCAATGAATGTTACCAGTTTGCAACATATCATTGATATGCAGAAGAAACAGCGTTGGTGATACTTGTGGAAAACCAGCGTTAATAGGCTTGTAGTCGGAGCATGCATCGTCTACAACCACTTTGATGCTCCGATTTGCAAGGAAGCTGGTGATCCAGTTGCACAATTTCTCGGGAAGCCCATAGGAAGGGAGCTTCGAAAGAAGCGCTTTGTGCCAAACCCGATCGAAGGCCTTCGCAATGTCCAAACTAACGGCCAACGCCTCCCCCTTGGACTCAACTTCCTCCGCCCATCTATGAGTCAGGTAGACCAGAAAATCACCAGCTGATCGACCCCGACGAAAACCGTACTGGCGGTCACTAATCAGCTGGTGATCCTCAAGGTACCGCATGAGCTGGCAGTTAATAACGGATTCCATTATTTTGGAGAACAAGGAGGTGATGGCGATAGGCCTGTAGTTGGACGGGTCTGAGCGGTCGCCTTTTTTAGGGATCGGGTGGACAAAAGCTGTCTTCCATGATTTTGGGACTACGCCTAGGGAGTAGGAATACCGGAAAAGACGCGTTAGAACCGGTGCCAACTTCTGAGCACCCGTCCTCAGCACAATTGGGGGGATTCCGTCAGGTCCACTCGACTTGTGGATGTCCAGGGAGAAGAGTGCTTGGCGAACCGAGCGCTGTGAGAACAGCACATCCGGCATGGAGCACTCATACCGCGGGATGGTCGGCGGTGTGTTCCCCCCGTCATCAAGAAAAAGGTCGGCTTTCTTTCTCTCTTGCGGCGTGGGCCAGTGAGTCGTCCTCCCTGTGCAGAGATGGTAGTGATGGCTTACATAAATTCCCTTGGACAGCCTTGGCGAGAGACCAGAATGCACGGGTTCCCGAAGAAAGGCGAACTAGTTTCTCGCCAATTCTGCCCATGTGCTCTGACTTTGCCTTGGCATTAACTCTTTTGAAGGACCTGGAAGCGAAGTTATACTTCTTTTTAAGCATGCTGGTGTTTACATCCCGAGTCGCCGAAGCCGCAGCCCAGACTTGATGACACTCCTACTTACTGCGTAATGCAGTCTTACAGGAGCGATCAAACCAAGGCTGAGATCTGCCTCCGATGGGTACCATAGATGATGGAATAAATAGTTCCATTCCCTGTAGCACCACATCAGTGACAGAGTCAGCAGGAGCGCTGGGATCATCCGGCGAGAAGCAAACCCGCCCCCATGGATAGGATGCAAAGAAAGACCGCATTCCGTCCCAATCTGCCGACCTGAAATGCCAAACACGGCGGCAACCTGCAGAACGCAACCGCGAACGCATCTGCGGGATGGCATGGGGTAGTTTGGGTTCTCCTACTCCACCACTACAGTGGCTTTTTCTCTTATTTGAAAAAAGAATATCCTTTCAGGCAATACCAAAACCGCATAAGGTTAGAGATGAGATTCAATTCACACCAATTTGTCATATAGATATCTGGCCTAGTGATATCAAAAATGATTGCAAGGATGAAATTTTTTGCCTTGATGCCGTTAAAGTTGAGGAAGAGATTTTCGAATATGAAAATTGCAAATTGGAAGAAAATGAGAATCATGACACAGGTAAGATATACCCTTTTTGATATTATTAAGGTACAATTTACCTTATGGCAAGTGGTTACTGTAGCCCGTAGACACAAAATAAAGAGGGCTTCATGTGCAATGTATTGATTTACTGATTTGCCTTTGTCTAAATTCTAAGTGCATGTTTTTATTAGTATGCTTAAAAATTTAAATTTTCTACCTCAATCCGGTTTTGGGAGTCCTAAATTTGAAAAATTTGTAACAAATCCGCAAAGTGATACCTCAAATGAAAGAGTACTAACCAAGCATGTTTTCAAAAAGGTTTGAACAAAAAAGTATCATCCGGTTTTTTTTAACGTAGCTTCAAAAACCTGTTTCTTTAAATCTTAGAAAATTTTCGTGAACTGTTTCTGTACAAAAAATGTCTGATGACACAGATGCTGAGACCATGTTTTCTTAGATTGCTTACACATTATTTAAATTAAAAAAAAAACAGACATTTATAAAACTGGCAATTATTAGCAATGAATTGTAAAATTTTTGATTTTATCACCTAAAACAATAAAGTATAGTCAGACTTTGTCTAACATAACTATGGCCTAAATGATACTTTTCAATCAACAAGTCAATCTTACAATTATCCTGTATAATGCTTGTTCCGTGTGTGATTCGAAGCAGCGATTATTGGATTAATGTAATTGTAACATGTTCAGAAGAACGTTATCATTATCATTCGAAAATAGTTTCTCTACCATTCATTCCCCCTGAAATGCATATGAGATACATTACTGAAACTAATTGGCTAAAATACTTTATATGTATATAGAAACATTACAAGAGTATAATCATGTAGAATATTGTAATTTCTCTATTTCTCCCTGGGTTAACCAATAGAGAACGACATAAGGCATAAACTCCGCCCAGTGTTCACAGTTTGTGGTGTCTTACAATAAATAAAATGTTTAATTCGTATGTATTTCAGAACCATACATCAAACCGACAAATAATTTTTCAAAACTCTCTGAGAGGAAGATTAAATCAAATTCTACTGATTGTAACATAAACGATGTTCGTAAAGGAAACCTCGATTTAGAAAGCCCTACTATTAAATCAAAGCCTAAAGTGAAAAAAGATAATCAACCAATTTATAAAAAAGGAAAGCATCCTGCAAAGATTATGAAAAACAAAATTTTGAAACAAAAGAGTGTAAATATACTTAAGAAAAAAACGTCAGGGGCATCAACAAAAGACATTCTCGCCAAACACATTTCATACAATCATAAGACACAAAAGAAGTCAGACACCACTGCAGTTCGGACACAAGTTGAACAAACTCCAGTACCACAACTAACGGAAATATTTAATTGTGATAATTGCGAATTTAAAACATCTCAAAAACGTTACATTTTGGCACATCTTAAAGCGCACGTCGCTGAACAAGTGTACTGTTGTAATAATTGTGATTATAAAAGTATTAACAAACATCATTTGCGGAGACATATGAAAATACATACTGGAGAAAAACCTTTTTCATGTAACATCTGTGAATATAAATGTATTACAAAAAGTCATTTGCAAACACATATGAAAATACATACTGGAGAAAAACCTTTTTCGTGTCATATCTGTAAACATCAATGTATTCGAAAAAGTAATTTGCAAAGGCATATGAAAATACATACTGGAGAAAAACCTTTTTCATGTAATGTCTGTGAATATAAATGTATTACAATAAATGATTTTCAAAGGCATATGAAAATACATACCGGAGAAAAACCTTTTCCATGTAATATCTGTGAATATAAATGTATTCAAAAAAGTAGTTTGCAAAGGCATATGAAAATACATACTGGAGAAAAACCTTTTTCGTGTAACATATGTAAATATAGATGTATTAGAAAAGATATGTTGCAAACACATATGAAAACACACACTTGAGCAGAACCTTTTTTGTGAGAAATCTGGTAAAATATGTGCAATATTATGTAAACGTGTTTTATATAAATATAAAAGTATACTAGATAAAAATCCATTTGTTTAAGTTCCTTATGTAACTGTAGAACGAGTAGAAAAACCTTTCCGTATCATATGTGCTAATTGAAACTGCATTTATTCTGAAGAAGCTAATTCAAAAACCAAAGAAGCAACCAAGTGAAATCTAACCTTGAAATATGTACCGAGTGGTTAGTGGAAACAGACCAGACTTCATGTTTTTTATTTATTTAAATGATACTAGTTTATATTTTTCTTTTTTCGTTTCGATGTTTAGCGTTACATCCTATAAAAGTCCCCACGACAGAGAGAAATAAATCTGGAGCTGGGCAGCAGCATCTTTCTAGTAATATAAAATAAAAACTGTGTTGCCACCCCGCTTGCCAAGCGTGGCAACTATGGCAAATATCCCCCTATGAGGCAATCTATGGATGAGGCCTATGTTCAGCAGTCGACTTTAATAGGCTCTCTAACAAGAACACAATAAACGTCGAAACGAAAAAAGAAAAACATTATCCATCATTTAATTTTAAAAAATAAAACATGGTCTGGTCTGTTTTCACTAACCTCCCATTTGTTTCATAGTTTAAACTTCAATTTTTTTTTGGTTTTTGAATCAGCTTCTTCAGAATAAATGCAGTTTCAATTAGCACATAAGGCACGTAAAGGTTTTTCTACTCGTTCTATTATTCTGTACAAGATGGCTTTTGTAGTCGAGTTATTAATACATTTCATATTTACACTGTAAAATGTCCAGACTGAATTGGGAGTGAAACTGAAACATTAAACTCTTGCCGTGGCAGCTAACTATAAATTAAAGTGAAAGAAAGGTTTACTTTGATCTTATAGATTATCTTATGCTAATGAAGGATATGATTTTGTTATTTATTTTAACGTGTGGACATTGTTTTTATTAGTTTTACCTTGACTTGCACTAAAAAACTTTACAGTTTAAGTACTGTAAGGCAGTTTTCTTGCAGAGGATTAATTTCGTTAGGTGTTGTTGCAAAGTGAAATGTATCTTCACGATTGTTTGAACTTTTTGTTAAATTCTATATAAGTCTTTATACTAGAGCGGCAATTCAGAATAAAAACCGTGTGACAGCTGTGGATCGCGGGTAGCTGGCACGGTAAATATGCTGGTAACGGTGGCAACCATGGCAACGGCGGTGCAGGGGGTGCTAAGGATCTCCGGTGGAGTTTTGGTTGCCAACTAAGACGACTCCACCTGGCTACATATAACGCACGTACCCTGACGACTGACGAGGAGATCCTGGAGCTGGAAGATAAGAGATAGATAAGTTGCGCTGCAATATTATAGGATTATCTGAGGTCCGAGAGGGGAAGAGAGAAAAATGAGGTCTTATCATTTATATGTCATTTATTCAGAAGAAAAACCTATACATAATATACACAAATATATTGATACATTCGTTATTAATAAACTATTCATTTATAAGTATTTCTGGAATTCATTCATAACCTTAGAGTAATTACACATAGAGTGATAGTGTCTTTCAAAGTTCCGTTTAAAGTTGAAGCACAGAATAAATAATAGTACTAACGTACAGAAGTTGCACTCCTTTGATGTTGACTGCTTGCAGACATTTTAATAGCCTACATAGTTATTATTAATCAGATAAATCGCGCACGCAAGCTAAATAAAACTTTATCGCTGCGCGCGAGGGTCCGTATTACTTTGCATCTTTTCTCCTTACTACGTCACAACGGACTTTCCGTGGTTACTAAGGGCTGTTAATAAAGAGTACAAAATACATTGTGAAATTATTGTAAGTTATTATGGATCATATTTCCGCTACTATGTGAGTTCTGTGATGCCCAACGCATGAAACTTGCAAGGCCATTCGTCGGGAATCGCGATGCTTGGTTCATATAGGTCAGAAATATGATCGTAATCTACTTAGTTGAAAATCTTGTAAACAAAGTTTTAATTTCAATGTTTTGTGTTATTATAACTTAAAATATTTTAATTACAAAGACGAGTATAGGTATGTAAGTAGGTACTTGGGTGGTGAAGTAAATTTCAACTAAGTTTTGTAATAAAGTACTTAGGTATTACTTCTGTAGTAAAATTATTACTTAATTATTTTTTCGCTATAAGTGCCTATCTAACAAAAAATGAAATAAATTTACTTTTCATTATCCTTCGGTAACTCAAAAAATGATATATCTGAATCCTTTTAATTGCTCATTAAGCATCCATCCCCGCAACAGTTATATTAGGATCGACGTTTTGCCATTATAATTTATTAAATAGATAGGTAATATACATATATATTATTCTTAAATTACAATAAAGCTTTTTTAACTATTTTATCCCACAATTAAATATACTAAACAAAAACTATTTTGACGAGTATTTCAACAAGTATTTAAAAAAATATTTACGTAAACAGCGTTAAAAAAACTTTAACATACAATCGTATAGAGCGCGCTAGCCACGACTGCGATCTACCCAAAGAGTATAGTAACTGTCCTATACAGGAAAAGAGAGCCCACTCACGCGAAATCTGTCAACCGAGGAGTACTAGCGCCGTCTGGTGTCGTTTCGCCACAATATTGTGAGAATGTGTGCGTGCGTATAACACATGCACCTCTACATATACACCTCTATTCATAGTAATTCATTACGGTTTATGTACTAGGATTAATTATCAACAACCAACTGTGAATTAAACATTTGAAACATTTTTAAAAGATAACTGCATAGTAACTAAATGCTTCAAATGTTTAATTTAATAGTCGGTTGTTAATAATTAATCCTAATACATAAAGTGTGCTTCATAATTTGTAAATAGGAATTAAGTATAATATGTTTTAACGTGAATGAAATTAAACACAAATAATTGGTACATTATTCTATATTTTTTGAACTTAATGAAAATAAAGGAGATTGATAAAGATTTAACATAGTTTTGACAATTACAACACATAAAACTAATATTTTTATTCTAATGTTTATATCATTAATATACTAATAACACAGTGTCTATACAAAAATAGTAAATTTTATTATTTTAATAAATGAATCATAACAAACTTTAACATTACAAAATGTCAAGCTAATATCATAAGGGTAAACTTAAACGGCTATGAATCAATCCAAAGCTGTAACCACGCTTGGCAAGTGGGTTGGCAACTGCAGTTATTGGGAAGATCAGTCCACCTGCTGATGTGTTTCCCTCTGTCACCTCTTACGATGAAACCCACGGAATGATTATATGGAGTTGTGGATATTCTGAGACTGTCACTACACGGTAATCCAATATTTTTTTACAATAAATGATTCGAAACACAGCTTTATTATAACAAAATATTGAACTAATGTCTTTAACAATAAATTTTCACAAACAAAATATGAAAATAACATTTTTTAACAATAAATTATTCATAAACACAGCTTTGATATAACAAAATATTAAACTGAAAAAATATTAAATGCTTTGGCATATGGTCTGACACAACTGGTTACTTCGCCTACGCAGATTCCAGATGTGGAGGATCATACACCTTCCCTGTTGGACTTTCTGCTAACCTCTCATCCGGACGGATATTAGGTTGGCGGTCCACCATTGTGCGATTTAGAAGAAGTTTTCTCCCTCGCACAACTTCCTTGTGGAATCAATTACCACCAGAGAATATTCCGGACTGATACGACTTAGGGATCTTCAAGAAAACAGCCTACTCCTTTTTAAAAAGCCGGCAACTAATAATCTAACTAGCGAAAAGATAAAAAGAGGGCTTGGCCTCTTGTTATTCATAACAGCTTTGACAATAGAAAATATGAAATAATATTTGTTTAATTAAATAAGTGATTCATCAGAACACAGCTTCGACAATCGCCTCATAGAAGAGATATTTACCATAGCTGCAACGCTTGGCAAGCAGCTTGCCAACCGCAGCTTTTAAATTTAGTCGTTATTAGGAAGGAACTGCCGTCCATCTTCTGATTTGTTTCCCTCTATCGCCTCTAATGACACTCACGGGATGGTATAGACTGGTGGATATTCTTACTGCGCCACACACAAACTAACATTTTTACAATAAACGATTCATATAACACAGCATTCACAATACAAAGTATGAAACTAATATTTTAACAATAAATGATTCTTAACAGCTTAGACAATACAAATTATTTTTATTTTTTATTTTTATTTTTATTTATTTATTTCTGAAACTTACAACTATCATTACAGGATTACCTAATGCGATAGTGTAGCTGTCTAACTAATTTGTCTTCATGCTTTAATTTTTGCAACAAATTACAAGCAATGCTATCTTTGTGAATTCACTCAGTACAACAGAATAGGTCCGTCTCACTAGCTATTAAGTTGAGCGTATGGAGTGCGCGCGTCAGAGGCGCCTTACTCAGAAGGTTGGTTCGAGCGCGCGGCTCCACCAACAGTCGCGGCTGCCGTCGGCGCCACACATACCTCTCAGGAACATATAGGTTTAATTGCCCTAACATTTCAGCGTTATGCAATTTTCCTCTGAGTACTTTAAAAATATACGAGGTGGTTATGAAATCAATATTTCTATAATAAGTTATTCTTAACAGCTATAACAAAACAAAGTACAAAGACAATATTTTTTAAACAGCTATAACAAAACTAGGCATAAAAATAATAATTTATACAATACATGATTCTCAACAGCTCTAACAAAACAAAGCATAAAAATAATATTTTTTATAATAAACGATTCATAAACAGTTTTGACAATACAAAATATGAAACATATTTTTACAATAAATGATTCTAAACAGCTATAACGAAACCTTCGCTGCAAATGTCTTCTTTTTGGTGATCTTCTCAAATGCTACTTGATTACTCATTTATTCTGCATTTGATAGAAGAGTCCTAAAATCTTTTATAGTTTTTCTAGACTTCTTTAATTAAAATTTAAGTTTTCTCGCATGTTTTTGTAACAACTTCTAATTCTTAGGGTAGTATCATATTTCGTCGGTTTATCTGAAAATGTTTAATTTATACATTAGTTTTTCCAAA